TCTTAAAGGCAGCTATAAAAGGTCTCCTCCCAACATTGGTTGATGTAAGTCACTTCTTAAAGGCAGCTATAAAAGGTCTCCCCCCAACATTGGTTGATGTAAGTCACTTCTTAAAGGCAGCTATAAAAGGTCTCCCCAACATTGGTTGATGTAAGTCACTTCTTAAAGGCAGCTATAAAAGGTCTCCTACCAACATTGGTTGATGTAAGTCACTTCTTAAAGGCATCTATGAAAGGTCTCCCCCCAACATTGGTTGATGTAAGTCACTTCTTAAAGGCAGCTATAAAAGGTCTCCTACCAACATTGATTGATGTAAGTTACTTCTTAAAGGAAGTTATAAAAGGTCTCCTACCAACATTGGTTGATGTAAGTCACTTCTTAAAGGCAGCTATAAAAGGTCTCCTACCAACATTGGTTGATGTAAGTTACTTCTTAAAGGCAGCTATAAAAGGTCTCCTCCCAACATTGGTTGATGTAAGTCACTTCTTAAAGGCAGCTATAAAAGGTCTCCTCCCAACATTGATCTTGCCATTCTTCGACTATACCACGACTTCTCAATGTTCACTTGCGTGGACTGCCCCAGTTACTTATGGCTGATACAGCCTATTCTGCAGGAGCCCATAATGGCCGTGATTGATCTGAAACTTGCATACAGAGGGACTCTCCAAAGGCATGATTGATTGGGCAACTCAGTCCGAGAGTGGATGGGCCATGTTATTCCCCTGACAGAAAGCATTACCTGTGCAACTGATTGCAGTGATAGAGTTTAGCAGGAGCCAAGCTGTCAATAAACCCTCTATTCAGAGACAATTTGACTAAAGCATCTTCACTAAGTTGAATTTCAAAACATTTCTGTGAATTCTTCCTTGTTGCCAGTATGCAGGAATATCATCAAAATGTATCAAAAACACGTGTTTAGAAGAAATTCATTATTTTTTTAACAACTGATTTAATCAATGTAAAAATACACCCAGTATAGATATTTTACTGTATTAATTTGATTTCTTTCATTAATTAATATACATGCAAACAGTGACTCATGAATCCAGGTCTTTTATTAAAAACAAAATGTCATCTAAAACTGTTCCTCATCTTTGACAAATGGTACTATTTTCTCAATAAGACTCTTATTTTCTGCTGGTATCAGTGGAAGAGCCATAACCTTGGTAATAACCTGATTAAGTTGAGCCATGAGACCATTACGCCAACATAAAACAAATCGGTCTCTCCAACAATCCATTATATACTATTCAAATAAAACTAATGAACCATGAAACATAAATACTAAAACAAAGATAAGTGCTGATGACAAACTTCCTATACAAGAATATTCATGTTTGTAAACTCATGTTGTGGTTTGCAGATTGTGGCATCCAAAAAAGACTGAAGGTATATAGGCTTATAATGGGAAAGTTGGACAGAAACATACAGTGGCCGATATATTCAATGGTGCAGAGTCTGTGGCCAGCAGACAGTGGAATAAGTACCACAACACCCAATCTATTCAAGATCCACTCTGTTCAGGGTTTTCATGGTCCACGACAAGGGTATACGCTCATTTCTTTATCTGAAATCAGGTTGTTGGGTAACCAGTTCACACAGCAAATCAAACTGCTGCTAAGATTTATCCAGCTACAAGAGTAGAACTTACAGGCCTACATGGGAATAATGAATCATCTAAATGCATCTCATCTCCAGGCTCCATGGTCAAACATTGTACTGTGTCTTACAAATCAGTGCCATTGCTTACAGACGTCCATGGTGTACACAATTCCACAGTATGTAATCATCTCTGGTCACAAGTCATTTCACGTGTCTTCGGATCAGTCCCGATTAACTTTGCACATCCTTGATAGGCATGGGTATGTCTGGCGACATTCATGAATGTTAAGCAAATGTTAACCTAAGACCTGTGACAGGTTTGGCAGTGGATCGGATATGGTGATGAGTGCCATAACTGTGACTGACAGCATGCAAGGAAGGGTCGTTGGACGTACAAACCAGGACAACACACTGAAATCCTTTGTTGTTCTGTTTACAAAGCAAGTGGCCAGCTTTGAAGCCAGACCTTTCACCAAATGAAAATGTCTTGAACATGATTGGGAGACGTGTGTCAACGTCATAGGCTGGTGCTCATATAGGCTGAACTTAAAATACAACTAATAATGATCAGCTAAAAGCCTATGTGTTTGATCCTACGTACAACAGGTCCAAGTTTGTCCAGGAGGAAGTGCCCCCAAGGAAGTGCCCCAGATTGCCTACAGGAAGTAGGACACAGGAGAACTAAGCTGGAGATACGTGTGGGTGGACGCTGAACATCAGATACTACTTGACAATATTAACAGTTATTATAAGAAATAATCAATTTTTCTGCCATGTAACAAGAATAACAAGGTTGACCTCTGTTTCTCTGAGAAGAAAGCCAATATCTCATCAGTGTTACCAGGGCTCTAGGGAAACACGGCGAAGCACGCACCTGTCACACATGATCTTAAGCCAAACATATTACACCCTGTGTTCCATGTATTATGCCGTTCACAGTCACAAGTTGTTGAAAAGTTACAGCCGATTTCTTGAATTTATGTTTTGCATGAGATGTGTTCTAGATGTGAAAATATTACGAAAGTGAGTGAATATATTGATGTCTGAAGTTATCATGCAAGTCAGGTGTGACAGTGAAGTCATGTCATCTGCTTGTGCTGGCACTCTGCCCTCGAAAACATTTTCCTAATGCTTTAGATATATTTGTGATAACAAACACTCACGTAGGACATCAGTGCATTGGTTTCAAGCAGTTTCTGAGAAACATATTTCTGAAGAATCAGTCACATTTGGAATGCAGATCATATAACCTTTGAGAAACCTATGATGATAATTATCATCAATGCAAAAGTTTCTTATCATTATCTGCTCATCATTCTAACACTATGCCAGCTCTCTCACACTGTCAGACCCTTGCGGTTTTAATGAAGAATAGTTTTATAATTTCATAAAATTAACAATTGTTTTCAATGCTCCTCCAAGAAACAATGATGGAAAAATTCCACACACTCACTCATTCACTCACTCACTGCACATTTGTATTGGTCTCACTCACTCACTCACACTAACACCCTTCCACCCACTCACTCATCCACCCATTAACTCTCATTCTCTCTCTCTCACTCACTCACTGCACATTGGTCTCACTCACTGCACATTGGTCTCACTCACTCGCTCACTGCACACTGGTCTCACTCACTCACTGCACATTGGTCTCACTCACTAACCCACTCTCCCACTCACTCACTCACACTCTGTATATTTGTCTGCATTCCACCATGACTCCATCTCACTATCTCCGCCCACACAAATAACAAAGGGCAGTGTAATTACCATATCCTCTACTCTATCAGTGCCAAGCTGCATGCAAGTTGGCGCGCCAGTCTATTTATACCATTTAAGTAAAGTAATACAAGAGTCTTCCTGTTTAGAACTCTCAACATGAAAAAGATTAAAGGCATGTTTCAATTCTATTTCAAATTGACCATAATGGCACCATGAATGGACATTCAGGAGACGGAGTTCAGAGACCACTTGATGAGAGGCAGTCAAAGATTAACAAACACTTAGGAACACATAATGACAGACATTGCTGCAACACATAAAGGCCTTGTTTTATATTTTTCAAAAAGGAAGATGTTAACATTTTCAAAATGTATTATCTATATTTACAAAACTTTCTGTGAAATCCGAGTGATGAATTGATTGTGAAATCACTGTATATTCTTCAATAATAAAAATGGTACCTATCAGTGCAGAGCACTTTATAATTCTATACTGTATTGATCAAGTTGTCTACACGACAAACTGCCTGCATGGTGGTGACTATTTCTACTGCTACTGACGACTAATATAGAAGTGTTTTCACACCATGCTGGAAACAATCACTGGGGAAATAATGGCCGGGGTTACAAGGGAGGTGATCAATACGCCCAGCCATGTGGAGGAATGAGGACACCACCCTGGCTTCTAATCACATTCTTTACAAGACTTCACCAAGGTAAACACTGCCAGTGTAGAAATCTTCATTTAAAACTGGCAACAGTCGATGTGTGGACACTGCTATTGCATTAAACAAACCGGCCGTGGGCTAGCACTTGTCAGGACTCCATGTCAGCCTACAAGTTTTATATGGTGTAAGATCTTAAACCACAATATGTGAGAAACAGTTCTTTATCTTCATCTCTGTGTTTACAGAAACATTGTTTCTACTTTTAAATCAGTACACTGTTTGACAGTGGTGTATGTGTGGAGGCTGATGGTGTAGTGTGCTGTCAGCGCCGACATGACGAGGTTCTCACGCTACTCACAGTTAATCTTCCAGCTGAAGTTACATTGTTTGTGTGAATGTTTCACCACTGTGACAACTACAATCCCTAAACACACCTTCAACAGATAGCATGTTTATCTTCCTCACATAGAGGCACGTGGAATCTAGAGGTATTAGTTGCTGGCTGTTGGTTACTACAATCCCTAAACACACCTTCAACAGATAGCATGTTTATCTTCCTCACATAGAGGCACGTGGAACCTAGAGCTATTAGTTGCTGGCTGTTGGTTACTACAATCCCTAAACACACCTTCAACAGATAGCATGTTTATCTTCCAGATAGCATCACATAGAGGCACGTGGAACCTAGAGCTATTAGTTGCTGGCTGTTGGTTACTACAATCCCTAAACACACCTTCAACAGATAGCATGTTTATCTTCCTCACATAGAGGCACGTGGAATCTAGAGGTATTAGTTGCTGGCTGTTGGTTACTACAATCCCTAAACACACCTTCAACAGATAGCATGTTTATCTTCCTCACATAGAGGCACGTGGAACCTAGAGGTATTAGTTGCTGGCTGTTGGTTACTACAATCCCTAAACACACCTTCAACAGATAGCATGTTTATCTTCCTCACACAGAGGCACGTGGAACCTAGAGATATTAGTTGCTGGCTGTTGGTTACCTTGCATCTGTCCTTTAGCTCCTCGAAATCCGTTTCTGTGACCTCTCCTGGAACTGGCAGCGGTCCATCCACTGGTGACCCTGTGTCAGCCATTACACTCCAGGAGACCCCACGCTACCCTGCAGCAGAGAACATTACACAGAGTGAGTGAGTGAGTGAGTGAGTGAGTGAGTGAGTGAGTGAGTGAGTGAGAGTGAGTGAGTGTACAAAGGCTGATATTGAGTGAGTGAGTGAGTGAGTGAGTGAGTGAGTGAGTGTACAAAGGCTGATATTGAAGATGCTAATCAAAGCCCATACATTTAAACACTGAAATATACAGATGTCCGTGTAAGCACAAAGTTCTCAGCACCATCCATTCTGGTGAAACCAGGACTGCCCAGGATTTGAGCTGACTTCATGCAGCACTGTAACTATCAGTTGATTACAGAATACAGTAAGTGTTTTACTATGGCCAGTCCTTGATCTCTCCTCCACACGTGATACATATGATCAACACTGCCTCTGATCAGGCCTCCTTGTTACAGCACTGACATCACAATGTTCTGAACAATTTAAACTATTACAGTTGCCTTGGTTACACAAAATGTCCAATAAAGAACACTCCCTATTCCATCCCTGCTACACTTGACCTCTCCCCAGTGACAAATGCATGATGTGTGCTCAAACAGTGTTCCATAACACACCTGTAAAGTCCGGCACTATCAGAGTGAAGCAACATAAATGAATTATGACACTGTTACATCAGAAAGGATCATAAATTCAACAGAAATATTGATTTTCTGAAATATTGCTAAAGCCCCAAGGGGCAATGGTTCACTAACTACTTGATTGTCAGCTGTGGGATTTGGTCAGAATGAATGTTGAGATAATAAATACATATAAAACATGATGAGTGCAGCATTGAAAGACCTCGTTATTGTCATCCAGTTGGATTTCTAAACCAGCAAACTCAAACCAGAAGTTTCACAAAAGTTGAACAATATTTAGATTTTTGAAGACAACAAAGTCCTCTTGGGACTCACTTCCAAGTCCAGCAATTTGTTTGAGTGTTGAAACAAACCCAATCAATAACCTAAGGAAACTGAATTCATGGCAGGAAGACTTTTTGTCACAGAAGACCATCTACAAATAAAGATTCTATTCACAGAATCATCACAAGTTGTATTATCCTCGCAGCAATAGTTGCTTGTTGCTGACCCGCTGACCACCATCCTTGTTGCTGACACACTGACCACCATCCTTGTTGGTGACACGCTGACTACCATGCGTGTTGCTGACACACTGACCACCATGCGTGTTGTTGACACACTGACTACCGTGCTGGTTGCTGACACACTGAACACCATGCTTGTCGCTGACACACTAACCACCATCCTTGTTGCTGACACACTGACCACCATGCTTGTTGCTGACACACTGACCACCATCCTTGCTGCTGACACACTGAACACCATGCTTGTTGCTGACACACTGACCACCATCCTTGTTGCTGACACACTGACTACCACACCACTTGTTGCTGACACACTGACCACCACACCACTTGTTGCTGACACACTGACCACCATCCTTGTTGCTGACACACTGACCACCATCCTTGTTGCTGACACACTGACCACCATCCTTGTTGCTGACACACTGACCACCATGCTTGTTGCTGACACACTGACCACCATCCTTGTTGCTGACACACTGACCACCACACCACTTGTTACTGACACACTGAACACCATGCTTGTCGCTGACACACTGACTACCATCCTTGTTGCTGACACACTGACCACCACCATCCTTGCTGCTGACACACTGACCACCACACCACTTGTTGCTGACACACTGACCACCATGCTTGTTGCTGACACACTGACCACCACCATCCTTGTTGCTGACACACTGACTACCATGCTTGTCGCTGACACACTGACTACCATCCTTGTTGCTGACACACTGACCACCACCATCCTTGCTGCTGACACACTGACCACCACACCACTTGTTGCTGACACACTGACCACCATGCTTGTCGCTGACACACTGACTACCATCCTTGTTGCTGACACACTGACCACCACACCACTTGTTGCTGACACACTGACCACCACACCACTTGTTGCTGACACACTGACCACCATGCTTGTCGCTGACACACTGACTACCATCCTTGTTGCTGACACACTGACCACCACCATCCTTACTGCTGACACACTGACCACCACACCACTTGTTGCTGACACACTGACCACCATCCTTGTCGCTGACACACTAACCACCATCCTTGTTGCTGACACTGACCACCATGCTTGTTGCTGACACACTGACCACCATCCTTGTTGCTGACACACTGACCACTACACCACTTGTTGCTGACACACTGACCACCATGCTTGTCGCTGACACACTGACCACCATCCTTGTTGCTGACACACTGACCACCATGCTTGTTGCTGACACACTGACCACCATCCTTGTTGCTGACACACTGACTACCACACCACTTGTTGCTGACACACTGACCACCATCCTTGTTGCTGACACACTGACCACCACACCACTTGTTGCTGACACACTGACCACCACACTTGTTGCTGACACACTGACTACCACACTTGTTGCTGACACACTGACCACCACGCTTGTTGCTGACACACTGACTACCGTGCTTGTTGCTGACAAACTGACCACCATGCTTGTTGCTGACACACTGACCATCACACTTATGGCTGACACACTGACTACCATGCTTGTTGCTGACACACTGACCATTACACTTGTTGCTGACACACTGACCACCAGCTTGTTGCTGACACACTGACCACCACGCTTGTTGCTGACACACTGACCATTACACTTGTTCTGACACACTGACCACCATGCTTGTTGCTGATACACTGACTACCGTGCTTGTTGCAGACACACTGACCATCACACTTCTTGCTGACACACTGACCACCACGCTTGTTGCTGACACACTGACCAGGAACACAACTGACCCACTGAACGACTTTCCTGATTATTACATCAGCTGACATCACAGATGACAATAATGAGCGTCGTACATGACAATTATTACCTGGTTATAAGACCTGTATTGATCGGTCTCCCACAAAACAAATGACAGGGCATGCTTGTGTTTCACAATATAATTGTATCATTGGTCTTAGAAAGGTTTCTTTCCATCGTAAAACATTGCTTTCTGGATAAACAGAAGAAGATTGAGGTCAGTGTCTGTGATCAAAAAACATAAACTGCTGAAGAAAGTAATTGGATAAGTGTGATCTTGTTTTACTGAATATAAAATTTAAATAAGCAAATCTCACAAAGCAAATAATTTGAATAATCCATCAGTTTGATTCATATACTCATCTATCATCAGTTTTACAACCAGTTCTCAAACATTAATTATGAAACAAGTTTCTGAAACATATTTTAGGTGACAGTTTGGTCCTCAGCGTTACCATCGATATCTAACACATCAGTTCTTCATCTGACACAGATTGTGTAACTTACTTAAACAGACACAACAATATGGCACAGGAAATTGATTTCTTAAACTGATTCACTGCCTTAACAATATCAGTGTCTATCAGACTTATTGATTTCTTCAATCATCAGAATGAAATAGTTGCAGTAGATAATGAGGAGAAAACAATAAAAGATGTCATCCCTGCTACTAGTTGACCAAGTGAGCTATACAAGTAGGTCACACACAGAATATAGTGTTGGCCATTCACTGTTGCCTTGACCATCAGACTTATGGAATGGCAATGTGAAATCCAAGACACTACGGCCTAGCTGAGACACCGAGTACCCCATCAATATATCACTGAGAGGCTGTGTGGACAGGGTTGTTGAATAGACAACTTTACTGACCTGGGTCGATTATAATTTAAACAGAGTTTAGCCAAATTTCTTGCTTCAGTATCCTATGGAGTTAAATCTCTGTACCAAATACACGTGATTCATGTTTCTACAGTATGACAGGATAAAATGATAGCAATTAACTCAATAATGTATTCCAGCTTTAGAGTTATCATAGTATAAAATTAATTGTGACAACCATTTTCCAATACATCACTTATTCTGAAAGGCCAAATTACCCTGAGGCCTTGCCTTGCCATTTGTGGTTTATAATTCTGATGCTGGTGTCTCGCCAACCTTTTAACCCTGAAACAATACTTCTACACATTAGCAATTCACCATTTCCTGACCCGATGGGTGGAGGAAAGGGTTTACTTGGCTTCCTTGTCAACCCCTCCATATCTCCACCGGTAGTTAGATAATGGTGGTTTGTGAAGATTGGAAAACATAGGGTTCACGCCATTCAAATGTCATGAAGAACCACAGCAGAGTCTATCAGAAGTGCCCCTGAAGGCTGCAGACTTTGCACTACAGACTGGCAACAGTAGGGCGCTTATCTCGTCAAGTTCTTGACGACTATCAACAAAAGTCAACAAGAAGACCAAGTCCCTTGTCTCAAGACTTCCCAGCAACTGATGAAAGAATTTCTGTAGCAACAATTCAGAGACCTTGTTTCACTCTTATGCAAAGTAGACATGGCAGGAGGGAATTCGAGGTTGCCATGAGAAAATAACGAGATAGTGACAAGATGACAGGATGACGACATGGCAAGATGACATGATGATGACATGGCAAGATGACAAGATGATGGCATGACAACATGATGACATTGCAAGATGATGACATGGCAAGATGATGACAACATGATGATGACATGGCAAGATGACTACATGATGACAACATGGCAAGATGATGACATGATGACATGGCAAGATGATGACATGATGACGACATGGCAAGATGAAGACATGATGACGACATGACAAGGTGACTCCACACAAGATGATGAAGGGAGTCAGTTGGAGTGTTGTGAGCTAGAGACAAGTTGCACAAAGAACCCATGTTGTTTATTTATATAAACACTCTTCCAGTGAGGGGTGAAGACCTGTACACTGATACAGCATCTCTAGTGTGACTGTCACACTCATCTCAGGGGGACCTGCACCGCTGACTACACTAAGTGTCTGAATATATATAATTCTGACAGTAACATTTAAATTTGAAAGGATCCCCAGTGAGATGGGAAACTGAGAACCTGAGG